CCTTAATAGTACAATTTTGAAAGTTATGCGAATTAGAAGATTTTTTTCCACACGCGAAACCCGGTTTTTATGAAAAAAACACCCTGTATATTGTCAAAATAAAAAATTTTGTGATTTTGATATATTAACCTTTCAATTATCTATCAAACAAAAAAAAGAAAATTTAAATCGGTTCAGTGGATCTCGATCTAGAGCGGCTCAAAGTACGCGCCCGGACGCCATTTTGAATGGCCGCCATCTTGGATCTGCCACCATTTTGGAAATAGGGGGCTACGCCCCCTGGCCGCTACGCGGCCCAACCCCCTGAAGGCGCTCCGCGCCATCAATGGGCCGCTTCGCGGCCCCATTTTTACCCTCCTATCAGTGTTAGTTTTATTTTTCTCCTAAAAAAATACGATATGAGGTATACTTTAATTTTAAACTTTACTTTAAATTACTTTAAAATTAAAAGGACGCGTTTTGGAATGACTGCTTGATGAAATATTGCAATAAAACAATGAACAATGATAGTCAGGTAATAATTCAGATTTCATGTGTCGGGGATCGAACCCACGCTGCGGATATAGATTACGCATCCGACGTCTTAGACGACTCGGCCACCGCTCGCCATGAAGTCGTAGGTGCGAATCTTGTGTAGATAAGTGTAGAGCTGATGCGCAGGCTACCCAGCTACTGCGCAACCTCCTCGACCACTGCGCATCCTCCCGCGCATAGCGGCAGCAGTCCCGGAGCATTCTGTAAAGTTACTCACTTTTATAACGTGATTTTGAAAAAACCTGGGTCCTATTTCCAAAATCTAATTAGAGCGGGCACATCTAGAGCCAATTACCTGACGATCTACGCAAAAATCATGGAAATCGGCCCGGTAGAACGCTCAAACGAACTATGACAAAAAGTATAAATTTACATTGTTCTTATGAGAGAATTCGCAACTTTACCACGTAATATAAAAAAACCTGGGCCATATTTTGAAAATCTGAAAAGAGTTGGCTAATCTAGAGACAATTGCCCGTCGATTGCCGCAAAAATCATGAAAATCGGCCCGGTAGAACGCTGGAACTAAGCGTCACCAGTTTCGTAAAATTAGGAGGTCTCGGAGCTTATAGTATAGATGCCTCTTCGACTCAAAACGCTTAAAATATCATCTAGTTTGACCTCCCAAAGTGGCAAAACTGAATCACGATTTGCAGCGTACTTGCCATAAGCCACCGTACTATAGCCCCAATTATGACTCTTTTTTATGACTGGTTATTTCATTTTTTAATCGTTGTATCACCACAAATTGTAAGTCACCTAGTAAATATTATGTCAATTATTTTTTAAACGTACTTTTTAATTGTATTTTTTATTTTTTTTTAAATTTTTTTTTTTTTTTTTTTAAAATTATTTGGAAAAAAAACACAAAAAAAAGGTAATTAGCACAAAAGTCTACAAGGTGAGTTAGAATTTGCTGTGATACAGCGGTTAAATAGTAAAATAACTAGTTGTAAAAAAGAGTCATCATTGGGGCGAGAACCGAACCCTGGATCACCAGAGTCGAAGTCGGGAGCGCTGCCACTAGGCTAACCAGCTCACATGTTTTCCACGCCAATCAAACCGTATAAGAAGGTGCGCACAGAGAAGACTAAACTTGAGCATGTGACTGGTGCGCAAAACCGGCAACTTAAAAAATTCATAACTCAAAAATGGCTGGGCATTAAAGCAAAATATACAAATACGGGTTCTTAAACTTCCCTATTCTATTTCCCTGCCAAATTTGAACCCGATCTGGGGAGGGCAATCTCCTTGTCAGACATTCTAAAAGGAATTGGATTCAGTTTTGCTAGAAATAATGGGTGGAAGTCTACTCGGATGTAAAATGATATGAGCTGAAATTCGCATTCAAGCAAAACTCTATGGAGTCCGATACTACTAATGAGTAATCTTCCAGAAAAATGATGAGGGATTTGATGGCGCTTTGACATCTACAATCAGAGTCAGGGATTAGCCAATTTTAAATGAAAACTATCCTTGATAAAAGAGATTCATGCAAAAACGACGTTTTTCGCCCCCCCCCCCCAAACCTCATCAAACTTAGTCCATCAATGGGCCTGACTCATAACTTCACAATCTGCGTAAGAAATTTGCGGTTTTTTGAGCTTCCCGCTTCAAAAACGATACTACGGCACAGGTGAACATTTTGTAAGAGGAGTCGTTCTATCGTCGGCAATAATCATCATAGCCGACGCCAAGCCGCCAAAACACGTTTGATGGGACGAGATAACACCTGAACTGGATTAGACCAGATAACAATTGGTGTGTTAACGTTCATATTTTCCACGCCCGAATGGATTGACCTTGAACTCTCCTTGAATTACGCGCAGAACTGCGTGCAAGCGTCGGCCATGATGAATATCGCCGACGATGGAGCGACTCCTCCAACAAAATGTTCACCTACGCCGTAGTATCGTTTTTGAAGCGGGAAGCTTAAAAAAACGCAAATTTCTTACGCAGATTGTGAAGTTATGAGTGCATTTCAGACTTTGCCGATGCGCTCATCGTGATTTTTGAGGCATTATCTACAAGAAACAACTCTTATTTTTGCTGTAGCAAAAGTTTGCAACAGGCACATTACGTACACTCAAGTGCTTCTTTTCCCAAATTTTCAAACCCCCAAAGAACTTTGGGGAAACGCCAGGGGAGTGGAAGATAAAGCCTGTGAACCCTGATGTTTCTCGATCGAAAAAAGATATCGAGGTCCACTTTGGACAAAAAATCGTCTGAAATTGCATACTTTTAGATTCTAAAGGTCACATTATCAAGTTGACTTATGTGCTTTTTTTCAGTTTTTGAGTCGAAAACATTTATTTAAAACAAGGAGTACGCAAAGATCTCAATTTTTCATATAAACCAAAACCAATTTTTTAAATGTTCGTCTTTTTTTGCATCTAACGAGTGGTCCATTAAGCTGGGGAACCGGACGGCTCCAGAGTCATGAACGATTGAAATTTCCGCTCTACGCGCACCGGTCTGTGGTTCCAAAGGTGGATTCGAGTGTTATTAAAGCAAATAGAAAATTCAAACCGTGCAAAATGAATTTTTAGGGATTTTTGAGAGTCGCTGAGTTCAAAAAGTGCAGATACTTCAATAAAATTCACTTTTTTAAAATTGCAGCTCCGGGGCGCTACTTTAGAGGCCCACTGATGAACTCATGTTCATCTACCAGGGTAAATTTACGCTCAAATGTATCTGCATAACTGGATTGTGGGAGGGAGTACACGGTGGAACATGGAAAAAAATGTACGGGACCTCAATGTGGCAACCCGGAAAAACTAATTAGCTCCGAAGCACTACGTTCCAGTCCATCCGATTGGTCGCGGGAACGTGTATCTGCCTGCCAAGCTAAACTTGAGCTCAAATGTGTCAATACTGATGGATACTGGGAGTGGGACACTGTGAAATATCACGAAAATGATTTTTACGGCCGAAAGGAGGGACTCATATGGAGTCCTGCAAGGCAATAAAATATTGAATACTAGTTACAGGAGGCTACATTGAAGTCCTGTAAAAATTTTTTTTTTAATATTTCACCGTGTCCCACTCCCATAATCCATCAGTATTGATACATTTGAGCTCAAGTTTAGCTTGGCTGACGGATACGCACTCATGCGATCGATTGGATGGACTAGAATGTAGCGCTTAGGGGCTTACTTAGTTGTTCCAGGAGGCCACATTGAAGTCTCATAAATGTATTTTTCAACGCTTTACGAGGGATTTTGACCTTTAGAATCTTAAGGTATGCAATTTTGAAAGATTTCTCGTCCAAACTGGGCCTCGATATCTTTTTTCGTTCAAGAAATATCGGGGTTCACATTTATTTAATTTCTACCCCCCCTGGCGCCACCCCAAAAATTTTTAGGCAGTCTGAAAATTTGGTCGAAGAAGCGCTGAAGTACGAGTAATTGGCAGCCGAAGTTTAAAGAAAGTCCAGAGGGGGTACGAAATATGTCGTTCTAGCATCAAGCTCTTCAAAGAACCCCGCACAGACCTTATGGGCAATGACTCTCTCTAGAATCTGATGAAACTCAGATATGTTGCTCAGCTAGTCATTCTAATCAAAAGTTCTCATGGGCCGAAAGAGATCCCACGAGCGGTTTTCGAGATATTCGCAGTTTTATGTGCGAAGATTTAGGTTTCGCTGGCTGAACCATTGTGCGGCGCCTCTTGTGCCCTTCCCTTCCAGTCCACTTCGGCCGCTCTCCGCTTCCGCCTCCCATACCCGAGGCTCGGACTCCGACGCTCACGGTGATAAGACCACCCAGTTCGGCGACGGTGAGCAAAGCCTCGTGAGCGTCGGAGTCCGAGCCTCGGGTTTGGGAGGCGGGGAAGCGGAGAGCGGCCGAAGTGGACTGGAAGGGAAGGGCACAAGAGGCGCCGCACAATGGTTTGGCCAGCGAAACCTCAATTTTCGCACAAAAAACGGCGAATATCTCGAAAACCGCTCGCGGGATCTCTTTCGGCCCATGAGAACTTTTGATTAGAATGACTAGCTGAGCCACATATCTGAGTTTCATCAGATTCTAGAGAGAGCCATTGCCCATAAGGTCTGTGCAGGGTTCTTTGCAACTTCTTTTCACTAAGTGAAGTTCTATTTTTTCTTATTGGGGATGTAATACACTGTAGTCTACATTGAAAAGATATTAGAACAAAGGGAAATTTGATAGTCACTCATTAATTTTACAAATGAGGCGGATGGCAAATTTATATTAAAATATAGTTATATAGTAATAAATAATATAAAACATATTATAAATAATAATAAATATATAAAGTTAAATGAATTGCCATGAGCTTTCGGTCTATTAGTGTCCCACCTAGATTTTGATTTGAGCGATTGTGAACAGCTAACAGAATATAAAGCTGAATTTCACTGTGAGGTGTACATAAAACCAGCACACTAATTTATTGAAATATTCGTGCAGGTAAACTTGAATATTAATTTATTTTGAATTTTGACTTACAGATTTAAAATCTTCTTCTTCAGAGTTGTTTCCAGCTTTTTTCCTCTTCTTTGTTGGCTCCTTTTTTACTTTTTTCCGTATACTCAGTGGCACATCTTCCTCTGACAACTCATCATCATCTTCAACTTTCCTCTTGTTTGCAAAAGGTGCTCTTTCTGACTGTGAACATAAATTAAGACAAAATATAATTAAACTTGCACCTTTATGGATTTCAATTTTTGAAACATGAGTTTAAAGTTTTTTAAAACATGATTTTATTTGAAATCTAAAAAATTATTAATTTTACCTCTTAAATGGTAACAATATAAAAATTCTTATATGTTGATAAATTTCGAGACATTAAACTCTTTCTAATTGTTAATTAACCCTGATACAAAAGGTAAAAGATTGTCATCTTTACTTATATTACTTATTATTTACGCTACAGCTGTAGTTTAGGCTGGAGTTTAACAGCTTGGTATTCAGTGATTATCTGACAATTCAACTTTGAATTGTTACTATGAGCCCAATTTCTCAGTAAATGAATTAAAAGAGCCTCGCCAAGAGGAGTGTTTCTTCACCCCTTCTTTTACATCCGAGTTGGTCAACGGGACAAAGCTGAAGTGAAAGCTTGTGGTGAGACAAATTTCCGGGCAAAGTTTCAACATGAGGTGACATATCGTTTAAGCTTTACAGCGTTGCCGATTTTCCATTTTTTAAGGGCTAAAATCAAGGTTGAGGCATTAACTGGAATAACCACCTACGGCTGAAAATATTGTTTTGAGAAGACCGCATTTAAAGGTTTGATTCAGAGACGCGACACTGGGTTTGCTCAGTAGGAAAACTGCATAAGCATTTTATCATAATTGATAGTATCCCTTAAACCACCCATCATGGAGTTTTTGGAAATATTTTAGTTTTCACCTTAAATTGAAAGTATGAAAGAGGTTGTTACAGGTGGTTATCCTGTACAACACCTAATCTCAAGGTAAAATGGTTAAATGGTTTACTAAAAAACACGATTAATGCTCTGTGACTCAGTATATGATGCAATGGAAGTAGAAAACAAAGAAAAACTTTTGATTTTGGCCGTGAACAACGATAACAACTAAAGTAACTTTTAATCAAAGACAAAATTAGGAAAAATAGGAACTTAAAAATCAGTCTTCTAAAAACTTGGAATTATCAGTTTGGAAAACCATCGCCAAGTGTACCTGGTGCAGTCACAGTCCTGAGACACTGATGCAGCGCGTTATCGTGTTGATAAATGGAGGACCTACCGATATGCGTGTAGATGATTATTCCATAGACCTGCCAACAGGTCTGAAATCACTTCACTAAAATGGGATTCTTGAGTTGAGTTGTTTGAGTTGGGATCAACTTGCTATCACAACCAGTGATACCCAAGGATACAATATTTCGAACTGACTAATCTCCGGAAAAACCACCTATACGAGTTTGGGTGGTTATTCCAGTGTATGCCTTGATTCTGAACTATTAGTCCAGTGCATCATGATTTAACAGACTAATATGTCGGTTTCCAGACTGAATACTATCCTGAGATAGTATATAATTGCAATTAAAGTCTATCATGAACTTATCAAAGCAGTGATGTCAATTTTTTAGATAACTTTTAACAAAAAATGACTGTATTTTCGAGATTTTTAGCGAAAAACATACCTTCATGGTCTAAAACATTTACAAGTACAAGCTTAATATTACCATACAACAGTGAATTACCGCTGTTTGAGGAGAAAATCCAATTTTAAAAGCAATAGTGCCAAGTTTAATTTACTTTCTTGCAAAAAATAAAGATATTCTCAAGTGAATGCTTGGAAAACGTAATTTTCCAGGTATTTCTCCCATTCTGATGTCTAAAAATTACCATGGTACGATACAGGATTGCTGTTAAAGGCGGAGAGGGAATTTTTAGGGCAACATTGTCAAATTGTGTATATTTACTTTGCGGAAAGACATAAATGTTTTAGAGCTTATCTCGCGGTAATGGTTCTTTTAGGGACTGTTGCCTCATAATGTGAGAAAAATATAACCTTACAACAGTAAAGAATTGGTTTTCAAGAAAGAAATCGAATTTTCAACCCAATGTTCCCATTTTATGGCATTTTTACGAAAAAAGAGGATATTTTAGAGCTCCCATTGTGAAAAGCAAAACATGATTCCAGTGATGCTCTTTTTCCTGGGAGGCAAGAAAGTCTCATGCTATGGTATTTAATTGTCCTTCATGCCAAAAATGGAATTTTTTGAACAATACTGCTGAATTTTCTACATTCTTCATTTTACTCATTTCTTTAAACTTGTTTTAAATTTTCTTTTATTTTACTTTTTTGTACTGCGGCCCTAGGAATGGTATCTAATATGCGCACATACGCTGCTTCTCCTACAATGTAGTGGTTGTAGCGCTTGCTCTATGATCAGGAGGTCCCACATTTGATTCATGGCCAGGTGACCCGAGTTTGATGGTCTCAAACAATCGTTATCTAGGGCTGGCTTGATTAGGGATGGAGAGGGGATGAGCCTTTAGGGACAGTGAAGCCCAAGATTATCCCTCATGGGATATTTGAAAGGTAACAAAAAAAAAAATTACCAAGGGTTTGTCATCCTCTGACTCTTCATCTGCATCTTCTTTCTTCACATCCTTCTTACAATTATCATCAAAATTAAGACAACTATCTTCTGTTTCAGATGCTTCGGACTAGAAAATAGAAAAAAATTAGGAATTATTCATTCAATAAAAATCTAGAATCGAATGGCATAGTGATAGCTGCACGAGTAGCCGCCGCAGCAAGCAACAACAGCAGCAAGAAGCCCCACTTCATGGTCATTTCTGAGCTGGGGGCCTCTCTCTTGAGGGAAAGTTGTTAACCTGCAAAATGTAATTTACTGTGGCCCTGATCACCTGGATCCCACAGCAAGAAGACAACTTGATTTGATCGTATCTACTAGACATGATACATTGCTGGACTGGGGAATCACTGATCTCAATTTGCAATACTGCAGACTTACCATCAATTGGGGTGTCCTACTAAGTTTTGGTAAGCAATCAAAGCAGTTGGCAACAGTGAAGAGTAAGAATAAAAAGATCCTTAATGATGGCGATCTGCATTTTCTGAAAGGAAACTATTGCCATGTATCCAGGGGAATATCGATAAGTTGGACAAATTAGCGGTTTCCGACTTCAAATTTCTGAGTAGTGCTGAATAGAGTATAAATTAGATTTTTCAGTAGAAATCTAAGTTAAGCAAAAGACATCAAAAAGTTGCGAAAAAAGACGAATAAAACCAGTGTCTTTGTGATCATGACTGACAGAGGTAATCAGTAAGTTTTTTGGGAAACTTTGAAACCACATCATCCATTAATGCTGCGAACAATTATGGGTAGGATGACATGGATATTTTGTTGCATGGATCAAGCTTTCGAAAAGACATTTAAAAAATAGTCATCGAAATGTGCTGAATTGCCATGCTATCACATTAAAAATCACATGACAGATAAGTGAAAATTAAGCACAAACCTTGATGACTTCTTTCAGTGGGATTTTAATGTCTTCTCTCTCACTTTCTTCTGTTTTAGAGGCAGCTTCTTCCTCCTCATCTTCATCATTTGAGAACATTTCTTGCTTAAATTCTTTCTTTGCTGCAGGTTGGAAATTTTCATCGTCATCGTCATCATCGATATAAACTCGTTTAAGGGGTTCAGGCTGTAGCTCTTCCTTGACTTTTACCTTCGTATTCTCCGCAGTTTTTAATGTGCCTGTGGCCAGTAAGAAAAGAAAAAAAATCAGAGCAAATCAAGTGTACAATGATGGACCACTAGACAAGGTACAAACTTAACACATAAAGATACAAGGTTCCTCTTCAAAATTTCAAATAAGAAACGATTCATGCAACAAAGATTACTAGAATTAACTGACAAAAAAAATAAATGTTAATATTTAGCATTGGTTCAGAAAAATTTAAATTTGGCACTCACAAGAAAAACCTGGAGTCTACTTGAATCAAATCGTGCCCTAAACAACAGTTGTGGAGGGCTTATCAATATGCAGTTATATTTTCCCACCTTCTGTTTCCACAATGAGAGACTGACAAGTTTTCAGATTTTTTTTTTTTTTATTATTATTTTTTTTTTACCCAGGAAAAAAAAGCACACACAAAAAACCACTGCAGAAATGTTATCGAAATTTAAATTCGCCATTACAAAAAAAGGAGTGAAGCCTCCGCTTGCACTTTTAATGCTGAGGGCACATGAGGCTCCAAACATTAGCACATGCTCACAGACAATCAACAATGCAGCTCTCACACCCTATACAATGAAAACGGAAATTGATGGCCACCGGCCAAACTAAGCAAAATGACGCGTGCAAATCAAACCTTATCAAAGTAGTAGTACTTATCAAAGTAGATCAAAGTGCAGGGTGTTACATTCACTCACTGTGACAGCCAAGTTACAGCATCCCTTTTATAGGTAAAAGTTACTATTGGATGTATTGCTAGCAGTGTGTGATTATAGTTGAACTCAATGCAAAGCACAAAACTAATGAAAAAAAAAAATCTATCTGACAGCCTACCTTCATCACTTCTGCGGTTCTCTTTTTCACCGTTGTACAGCTTCATTTTATCATCATCTCTACGCTTCTCCCTGTGATCTTCTTTCGATCTCTCTTTGTCTCTTGACCTATCTTTATGCTTGTCCTTATTCCTATCTTTGTCCTTATCTCTACTTTTTTCTCTTTCCTTGTCTCTACTTCTTTCTTTATCCTTATCTCTGCTCTTCTCCTTTTCCTTGCTCCTTTCTTTGTCTCTGTCACTAACTCTTTCCTTGTCTTTGTCACGACTTCTCTCTTTGTCCTTGGATCTCTCTTTATCCTTGTCATCTTTGCTCTTCTCTTTATCCTTGCTGCTAAAACTGCTTGAAGAGTGCTTTTTGTCAGAGGAGCTGCTATGTTTGCTTGAGCGATGTTTATCACTACTCGACGAACTGTGCTTCGACTTATCACCAGAACTTGAGCTCGATTTGTGCTTGTCTTTGCTTGATGAGCTTGAACTATTGTGGTGCTTGCTAGAAAAAAAAACAGTACATGATGGAGAATTATCATGATGAACATGCTGATTCAATGTAAAAAAGAAAGATATACACAAAAAAGATTTTACAAACACTTAAGGAAAACTAAATTGTTGAATTTGTTAATTAGATCACACGGCGCTGCATACTAATGAAATGTGAGTTACTGTTGAAAATCAATGATATGATAAAATAATTTGATGAAAACACTTCGTTGGTACAATCAAAAGAAATTTGTTTTGTTTGTTGAGGAGGAAAAACAATAATAATATGGACTTAATACAGGGTGTCTAGTTTTTCCTAACTTCCTAATTCCCGGTTTTCCGCCGATTTTTTTAAGACTTAATGGGCTCATGGAGGGCACATAATTCATCATTTTTCGTAAAAACTAATGAGGCTATGAGAATACCTATCACACCATTATAGAGGTTGCATTTTCAGCTTAATAGGGTATTTTTGAAATTTAAGGAAGAGACCGAAAAAATTTTATTGTATGCGGCAAAAAGTTAAAAGGGAAAAAAAGGTTGCCGGTTCCAGTGATAAGAATTCAGTCTGGCAAAGACCAACAGCTTCAAATTTAAAAAAGACCACTATACCCCCTGAAATCTATGATTATTCCATTTATTCAGTTGAGCCATTATTTTTTTTCTAATTAAATTTCACCGGTTTTTAAGGAAATCCTACTGTGCAGCATTCCTACACAGGACTGAATATTTCTGGCGAGCAGAATACACCGAAAATGTAAAAAAAAAAAAGGAATGAAATTGAATTAATAGGAAGGGCCAAAAACATGGATCATTCCCAAAATTGGCAGACTTTATCACTGCTCCGTTGAAAGGAAGTTATGTGAGAAGAGAATGATTGTCTTTGATCTCTTGGGCATCTTTTCAAAATAATCACGAAATCGAAGAGATTTCCATTTCTCTCAGGGATAAATCTTACTGCAAACTAAAATTCAATCATACCATTAAAAAGCTCTTGTTTTCAGCTTTCAAACAATCTATAGTTTTTGTAATTTGGAGCAATTTGTCGCCTATAAACTGATACAGGGATACATAAAGGATACATATAGGATACAATAGAATACATAAGGACTCAAGCTTTCTATTTTCGATTGACCTCGCACTGATTATGACACATTTTTTGTAGTCAAAAACACGATAATTACATTGGGTAGTTTGGAAAAACTATGATAAATGGCCAAATTTGGCAACCATGCATTTTCACTGAGTCAGGTGTGATTCAAAATGTGACTAATGGGACACGGGACTCTCGGGTCATGTTCAGAGTGACCAAAATCCCCCCAAAAATGACGGAAGAAAAATTAAGAGATGCCTCCCCACAGAAAAGAGTTGGATTTGAAGGAGCGCATATTGCATCTAGAAAAGAGTTGCCAAAATACAAGGTTTCGTCTTTGACGTGGATTCCTATTTTTGACTCAAGATTTTTAACGCTACAAAAAAAAACCAAGAAACCATTCAAAAGCTGACGATTTCAGCTTTCGAACGACATGTTGATTTTTTATTTTGGTGCATTTGGGCGGCCAGAAATTGACTTTGACTGAGGCCACCCGCATTTCTTTGTTTTTTGATATGTTTTCGAAAAATTCCTATGTGCCGGCGTTGAGTTGCTCAAAATTCAAAAATTATTATACCAATAGAAAGCTGAGAATGTGACCTTTCTAACGGTGTACAAGTTTTATTTATTAACTTCAAAAATAGCAGAGATAAATTCAAGGAAACCGGCCTTCCGAGTTGGCAGAAAATTCCTTGATATGATTGCAGTGAAATTCAGTTTATAGACGGCCAATTGCTCCAAATTACAAAAACAATAGACCGTTAGAAAGCTGAAAGCAAGAGCTTTTTAACGGTATGATTGAATTTTAGTTTGCGATAAGATTTATCCCTGAAAGAAATGGAAATCTTTTCAATTCGTGATTATTATGAGAAAAAAACCTGAAAGTCGAACAACACATGGAGCTCGAACAACACATTTCTATTTTTGCCTAAAAACATATTGAAGATGCCCAAGAGATCAAAGACAATCATTCACTTTTCATATAACTTCCCTTCATTGGAGCCGTGCTATCTTTCCTCTATGAATTAATTTACTGTTGTTTTTATAAAATTAAGTGGTGCTAATTATAGGATTAGTTAAAGAAAAGATGCTGAGCGTGATGTGGGGTAAACACATTTAATTGTCAAAAAAATCAAAAGGAGATCGAACTGATGCTGATGAAATAAGCTCCGGAAATCTTCGGCCCAGCTCTGCTCGTCCCCCGCGAGCCCTTGCCGCCGATCCGGATCCATCTTCCGAAACTGCTAATTTCAGTCGGCCAGCACTTCGGTGTGAAGCAACGCGACGTTCAAATTTTTTCCCGGTTCAGATCCCGGGTCATTCTCATTTCCAGTTTTTTCCGAATTTCCCGGTTTTCCCGATTGCCAAACACCTTGTGCTAATACAGGGTTTCGACCACACTTTACAGGCATAGCCTTGGCAACAGTGCAGTTATTCCCCTCCAACGGTTTCATTATTAGATAAAAAGAGAAGTAAAAAGATTGTGCATCACACGGTAACAAGCAGAATTTCGATCGATTAAAGTTCGGTCAAGCACAGCAGCTATTCTCGCGAACTGCATGCGAGGGTTCAAAAATTGAAATTTCCGATGGCACACAACATTCTCGGTGAGGCACTGAAATATTTAACATTTCCTGGGTGACACTCTTTTGCTGCATTGCACGCACGTTTTAGGTGTGGTCCGCAATAACGTTCCATAGTTCCCCTTCCATAAGATGAATATTGTTCCTCCTGAGAAATATTTTCATCAACTCCTATTCTGAGATAATTAGGATTACTATCATGGCCGCAAGATGTGAAGAGGTTCTGGAGACGATTCAGGATCCTTTCGTGCAATGAACTCTGTAATACGTAGCTTTTGGACACCATAGAATCTCACCATTGAAAGGTGAGTAGAGCCTTTTGCTGTTTTCTTAAAATTTCTATGATGATCACTACCCATTAAGTATCACACCTCCATGCGATAACTTTAGCTTGGCACTATTTACAGCCTCAGACTACAATTAAATTGACCTAAAAAACTTCAAGGTGTTAAAATTTTATAGTAAATACAGTCATGTAACCTGTTAGAACTAGAGCTGCTTTTTTCTTTTTCTTTGCCAGATGAGGAACTGCTTTTGTGCTCCTTATCTTTGTCTCGATCTTTCTCCCTGTATCTATCTTTGTCCCGATCCTTATCCTTGCTTTTACTTTTGTGACTACTGCTACTTTGACTATGATCCTAAAAACCAACAAACGAGAGTTAAATTAACATTCAAAGGTAAACAAACCACCTCATAAAAACTCCATTCCAAATAACTTTATTCTATAAACCGAAGGCTTTTTAAAACTACAGTGAGAAGTAAGCTTGAAAATAGAGCAGTTAATGCAGTAGGGCTGTTGCAGCATCCTGGAATTACCTTGATATTTGTCAAATCCTCTTATTTAGAAATAAACATTGTATTAAATTCACTGACTTTAAGAAAAAAGCTTGCCAAAAGAGAGAAAAAAAACCACTTTGAAGAGTGGTGCTAAAAATGGCACAATTTCAGACCGCAGGGATTTTTCTGAAATTGGTCCTAAACAATACCTTATGATACCCTAAAACTCTGGTAAAAATTTTAACTTGATGATACGGACGGTTTTTGAGTAATGGGGCAGGCAAAGTTGCCAAATCCCCAACATTCTTGACAGCGTTTTTACAGCAAAAACTACAGGGAAAATGGACGAAAAAGTGCATCATTGATGGGTTTTGGCTGTAAATGTTCTTATCAGTCCCCCGTGCAAATGTCTGTGTTCAGTTTTAACAATTTTCACCACAAACGGGTCCAAAATGGGGGAAATCAAGGGCAAATCAGGATTCTACATCAAAATTTCCAAAAAATGGAAGTAAAATTGTTTGTCTCCTGCGAAGTTCATGGCTAAAATTGTTTTTATCGGTCCTCAATGCATGGAATTGGGTTCAGCATCACAAATTTTCTTCACACAGTGGTTCTAGCTGGGGGGATAGTGGACAAATTAAAACTCTCTGTCAAACTTTTCAAAATGAAGTAAAACTGTTGGTCCCCTGCAGAGTTCAGATCCTGGATGAATTCATGTATTTAATTTTTGGCATGGGAACGGAGTTCCCCTGTCTTTACAATCGTTCTGTTGCTATCGCTATGGGATTCCCTATGCCTCTGCGACCTTGAGCGTTTCGCCCAGTGTTCGATTTTTGGTTGATTTTCCGATGTATCAAAAACCGTTGTTTCTTTTAGCCAATCATGTCTCTACGTCAAGTTGTGTTGATTTCTAAAATTCGCTTTCAGCGAGTTTTTTTCCACCTTGAGATATCGTGTCTGACCGGTAAATCTGCGCAGAACCACGAAGTTCCGATTTTGGGCAAATTCTTTTTTTTGGGAGGTTCTGATTGGTTATTTTTCGCCATCAGTTTACTGTTCGTTGGTGCAAAAGATAGCCTACCTCAGTGCTCTTGAGAAGCCGCCATTATCCCACCTCAAATTTTACAAATAGAAATAAAGACATAATAACCACCGTACAAGGTGGAAAATTGCTCTGGAGGACTCGTTATGGACAAGTAAGTCAAAATCAGACCTCGATTGATGGATTTAACTCATGGATACGCAAATATTGCCTTAGCTCAACTGCCGCGATCGTGAATGCATGCTGGGATGAACCTCGAGACACATTAAAACAGTGCGAACCATGGCTCCTACAGTAATGCGCTTAGCTCATTTCTCTCATATCCTAGAAAAACAGAAGCTACGAAGCGTCTCAATCATTGTCCGAGTCTTTTCTATGCTATTTTTACTCCCTCACTCGCCGATCCGTTATAGCCTAGTTGACTAAACCGCCTCATATTTTTGATTAGGTGCGGGCAATAGGCGATCGGGAGTTCGATACCCGACGATTGCAGTTAGTTTTTAATGGTTGTATTGAATGTTTTATACTAATCATCAACTAATAATTAATAATAGATGATAAATGTACGAACATTTTCTCGTGAGTTAATATGTTAAACAAAAATACTGGAATATACCTCCTTCTTATAATCAGCCACATGTTCACCCAAATTAATGACATTATTTTCTTTTTTCAATAAAGTTAATTTGCATTCAACGTTCGTAAGTTAAGCAAAAAGTACCTATTGATACAAATAGAAATACATGAAAATAGTATGTCTAACATTTCAGTTGTTTTTTTTTTTTATTTACTTTTTGTTTTTGTTTTTTCAACAAAACAAATTGACTTGGACTAGAATCATTGTATCTCTGAAGACAAAAGCTAAGTTTTTTGATACAGAAATACTAATATATTCATCCTTCATATAATCAGGGAGATGTTGACCCAAATATTGATGTATATTTTCTCTGTTCGCCCAAATTAATGATGGTATTTTCTTTTTTCAATAAAATTAATTTACATTCCACGTTCTTAAAGCAATATTTTCTCCAAAATTCAGCAAAAAATAACAATTCATGCCTACGCAAAAAAAAAATTAATAAATAAAGAAATAAAGCAATGATATGAAAGTAGTATAGTACACATCCAACATTTCAGTTACATCTATTTGAATGAAAAAATGGCAACTTAGGAAGCACATAGGTCACTTATGATGCGTATTCGGGCATATGAGTAGAGTAAAATTATCATACTTTACGCCGAAAAAGCGAAACTAAAAGTTAAATGCGTTAACTTCCGGAAACCATATATAATCCAACGAAAATAAATAATTGGTAAATAACAGCTTTCTTGTATGCAAAGAAAAAAATTAAAAATGTTAAAAAAGAGATGTCGACACAAAATTACATAGCCCCTTCAATTCTGAAGATACTACAAACGAACTGTACCTTAAAATTTTCATATCCCAGAAGCAAAAGTTCCCATGACGAATATTGCTTTCGCTAGCGATTGCAAAAACCAACTTGTTTTAAATTATTATTGTAAGCCAGACCATGTTGTTCACAGAACTTCGTTAAAGATTAGATTTTGTAGTATTATTTGTTTTAGCATTGCATTAAAAATAATGGGTGAGCTTCTTCATCACGTCACGGTACTAATCTTGGAAGAATTTTTTTGTTCATTTTATTTTATTTGTGTTACTTATTTTTTATTATTCTTTTTTTCTTTTCTTTTTTCTTATTTTCTTATTATTTTTTGGTATTTTTATATTTCTTGTTTTTTTCACTATTTCTTTTGTTTTCTGTTTTTTCAGTTCTTTTTTGGGCTTTTGAAAGCTGTTGTATAATTTTGTAGCGGCTAGCCACCACTCCGCCAACCAGCGCAGCTCATTGGCTGGAGCTCGACGCTGTCACGGCTATATCTAGCCGCGAGCTCATCTCACCTGTCACTCCGCGCCCGTACGTCACACGGGACTTACGTCGCACAGCACCCAGCCGGCTTGCCCTTTCCAACGGCTCTTCTCAGAGCCACCACACGATGAGCACCTCACATGGCTTAGTCCATAATTTCTTCATCCATTTTATATTTTTTTTTTTTTTTTTTTTTTTTTTTTTTTTAATTTCTGTAAGTCTGCATATTACCATTTCTAGACCTCATTCGTTCAGTTCTAACGGATAAAAATAGATCACTTCTAATGGCTACTAATGTATTTTGAATTGACATCTTGTGAATCTAGCAAAAAATCTCATAGATTTACATTATTTCTTTAAAAATTTCGACAGAGGATCTTAAGTTGTCCATGATTTCCCCCATTTTGGACCGGTGTGCGATGAAAATTTGAAAAACTGAACACAATTTTAAGCGTTGAGGACCGATAAAAATATCATTAGCCATGAGCTCTGCAGGAGACCAACAATATTTCTTCCATAATTAAGAATATTGACAAAAAGTCCTGATTTGTCTGCGATTTCCCTCCATTTTGGAATACTGTGTGGTGAAAATTTTTGGGACTGAATGCATATATGTGCACACGGGTCGATAAGAACATATACAGCCAAAACTCATCAAAGGTGCACTTTTTTTGTTCATTTTCCCTGTTAAGAATGATGGCGATTTGGTAACTTTGCCCCCCCCCCCCATTTACTCAAAAACGGTTCCAATACTCAGGCTAAAATTTATACCAGAGTTTTAGAGTGTCATAAGGTGTCGTTTGCGCCCGGTTTCAGAAAAATCCCCGCGGTCTGAAATTATGCCCAAATACGACCGTTTTTAGGGTCGCTCTTTGGAGCAAGAAATGTTAAGGGTATTTGGACCAAGTTCAACAGAAACGCACCAAGTCTCATTTTGAGTAAAAAGGAGTTTAAATTCGACTAGTTGTAAATATACTTCTGTCAAAAGTTTCCAGTCAAGAAAACATACAAGGTGTCCCAAAAGTCCCTTCCACCCCCTCCAAAATTTTACCTGATTAATATTTTGAGACGAAACTTAGGGGATGTCCATAGATCAATGTTAGCTACATTTGGGGCACCCCAACATTATCGCTCCCCCCCCCCCCTTTTGTGACATGTCAATCGAAAGAGGGTAAAAAAAGAAAATTTTTAGCGAAAACTGCAAGTCAAAATCTTGATTTTTGACCCAATGGCGGCCGGTCAAAGCTCAGAATAACAGGAATTTGACATCTCCGTTTTTGTTGACGGATTGGGACGGAACCTGGTATCCGCGCGTTTTTAGAGACAAGAAAAACGATTCTGGCACTAATTTTCCGGAAAATTCTGTCCTTTTCAAAATGGCAGCGGCCAAAATGACAACTTAGAGCGGCAAGAGAATATTTAGACTGCTTATCGGTGGATTTGCATGAAATTAGGTATCCGCGGGTATTTTGGCACGAAAAAAACGAATCTTTCATTGGATTTTTGAACTTCTGAATAAGTTCAGAGTGGCGCCGGAAAAATGGCGGAAACTTGGTACTACGGACGCTTACGGTTGGATTCGCATAAAACTCGGCCGCCATGTGGAAAGTGTTTCAGATTTCAAGATTTAATGCGAAAAAGTTATTTTTGTCAGGCCAGAGACCATCAGGACCCCGAGATTCATGCGAATCCAACCGTAAGCGTCCGTAGTACCAAGTTTCCGCCATTTTTCCGGCGCCATTCTGAACTTATTCAGAATTTCAAAAATCCAATGAAAGATTCGTTTTACTCATGCCGAAATACTCACGGATACCAAGTTTTGTGCAAATCCACCGATAAGCAGTCTAAATATTCTCTTGCTGCTCTAGGTCGCCATTTTGACCGCCGCCATTTTGAAGAGGACAGATTTTCCGGCGAACTAATGCCAGAATCGTTTTTCTTGCCCCAAAAAGCCCCGATATACCAGGCTTCGTCCAAATCCGTAATAAAAACGGAAACGTAAAATCTCCGTTATTTTGAGCTTTGACCAGCCGCCATTGGGTCAAAAATCAAGATTTTGACTTGCGATTTTCGCAAAAAATGTTCTTCATTTACGCTATTTCGATTGATGTGTCACAAAGGATGGGGGGGGGGTTGCCATTTGAAAAAAAAGGCTGGGGTCCGTAACCATTCCCTACT